CAATTTGTTTTTCAGATTTACGTTTGTAATTCCATTCGATAATTAAAAGTTCATGTGATAAGCAAGCACCTGCTTCAGTATTACCTATGTGATATATAATTTACTGGAGTCTAAATGTTAATGTGAATGGTGAATACTAAAATTAAAGTTAGTTGTGAAATCTGGGGGATGTTTAGTATGTGATATAATTTGATAGGCTTTAAGTTCCTGAAGCAAAATCAGCAAAATATTTTGGCATTTAAAGTATAGTTTTTTATATTGATTCAATGTCCCCTGAACTCAAATTATTAGCCAATCTGTATGATCACCCATTGAACATGAAGAGTATTACTGTATCTATGCAAAGTGCTTGGGATAATGCATTGCACCTTAGCGTGGGTAGTGACAGATATTAGATAGAGCTTGAGCAAGACAAGATGGTGATGTACTGAATCAGGTCAAAAAATGAAGAGGGGCCACTTTTGCAATAGCCTGTGCTTTGGCAAAGACAATACATTACCTTGAGCTGACACGTGCATGGCAGGGAGAAAAATGGGCCTGCACTTAGGGAAAACAAAGACAATCACAGCTTTCTTTCGTGAGCAGCTGCAGCCAGCTAGTTTAATGGAAACTGAAAAAGCAGAAACTGGCAGTGAGAGGTATGTATTAGTTTTTACAGATGGCAATGTAGACAAGTTGGTAATTGAAAAGGAAGTTGGGGAACCTGAGTTATTTGACAGGGACAGCTGATTACTTTGCTTTCCTGTGTAATTGACACTTGAACTGACCAGAGAAATCCCTCACTCCCACTCCACCTACTCCCTTCCCAAACAGACCCCCATTTTGTATTTATATTTGGTATATTCTGTATTTCTATATTCCTAGGTTGCACAATCCCTCTACAGAATCTGTATTGTTAATAAAACATAACATGTGGCTTAACAATTTTTGGCTTTATCAGAAATTTATCAGTGATTCCCACTGTGCATTATGTAGGTTTAGTTTAGTAGGTTGGGGATTTTGTACCACAGGTCTAAAAGTTTGTTAAAATCTTATATGTTCAGTAGTTTTTAAAAAGAGGATTGTCAGTGTATTCTAAACAGTGCTTAATATTCAGATGCAGGGATACACAGAAATGATGTGGACATAGTTTAGAAGGTACAGTAGTACATCATGAGGACAGACTGGGCATGTTTATCATTGAAGAAAAATTTATTGTCGACTTTATTGATTACTGTATAGAGATTTCTACTATGAAGTTATTAATTACAGAAAAGTATGCCACTGTTACAATGACAGTTACAATTAATCACTTTGAATAATTTTAGGACCATTTCTGGCTATAAACTGTTGCATTAATATTTGAATGAAGTAACTCAACCTAGTTACTACCTAAGTTTGCTTTATCAACTGTCACCTATTAAGGTTGCTATTTTCCCACTCTAACTTTTTGCCCTGTTTGCATTGTTACAACCTAACCTGAATACAACACTTTTGTCAATTTGGTTAAAAATTGTAAACATGTTATTGGATTTGTGGATTGGTGGATTTGTGTTCCACAAAAGAGACGTAATTTGGAAGTGGTCCTCAGTATAAATATAACATCATGTTATTTATCTTGTGTTGTTGTCTTTAAATGTCCAGAATTATTTCCTTGGTCAAAAATTGTGGAACGATTTTTGATTCATTGAAAACAACTTTCTCTTTGAAGTACAGTACATAAGACTCTGAAAACTGGTTTTATAAAGGCAGGCTAGAGAGAAAGTGTCCACTTGTTAATATTTGTCATGAAATTCTTTTTGTAAGTCTTTAATGAAATTAAACTCTTTAATGGAATTCAAAATGGCTACTTCTATGCTTCTCTGAGCAAATTCAAATTTCTAAAGCTTCTTTGCAGAAGTTTCTGCTTTGATTGAACACAAAATGTATTATGTGCATCATAAAATGATTGTATTGTCAGTGTTGTGACCTAGGTCTCAATTCTTAGAAATGAGACTATGTACTGTATTAATAGCTTAATTGATGTAAAATGAAAAGTTTATGTTCATTTCCTTGTACTTTATATTTATCGAAGTCCCATGTTTGACATCTGGAGTATTTGAAAAGTGTACAATATGAATACTATATGGTAGGACTAAGACATTTATTTTTTCAAAATAATTGTGTTAGAATAAAAGGCTGCCATAGAATGCTTTCAGAGTTACATTTAAACATTAAGATTATTTCCATTTTCATTTAATTGTGAAGCTTCTGAAACCAATAATCACTTATCATTGTTTTTGAAACTAAGTTATTTGGAGTATTTCTGTTAAAAATGTTCTCCTTACCATGGGATTTAAGTAATTTTATGTTTTCTCATTTGGTTGAAAAATGAGAGATATGCTTGTTATATTTAAATAAACATATTTATATTTCCTGATAATGAATGTCCTAGTTGTTGCTAATCCTGTGGTGCATCTGATATGATCACTTGACATTCTGTGTAATTATTGCAGCAAAAGACTTTGCTGCAATAGTAGTTGTAGTTGACTACTAAGAAATTATTGCAATTAATGCAAGGTTGGAAAGTGCTCTAGACTTCTCTATTAAAACTCAAAAAGCAACCATACACAAATACTGTACACAAGTAAAACTGCTCATTCTCGTTTCCTCATTTCAGTCACATTTTGATTATGCCATTTTTTCACATTCCAAAGTTCAACGCTGAATGACTTATCAATCTGAAATTCTCATGACATATATTACTAATATGTCTGGCCAAGCAAAGAATGGTTCTTTTCCCATTCGCCACTTCTACACTGAGACATCTCACTCACTTCCTTGTCTGGTTGTATTGTCAGGGCAGAATGTGACCTTTAATCTGTTATACTTATGGCTTGGAATTTGTGGATGCTTCTGAATCCCATTCATCTTTCAAAACAGATTTTTGTTTTCTGTCATGCTTGCAGAATTACTTAATTTTTACCACACGTTGAAGAATATAAATTATGGTTTACGCAAGAAGTAAGAAATGTATTTATAGGAATATTCAGAATATTTTTTCCTAAACACAAACAAATGGTAATCACATTTGAAGAATCCTAAGTAGAGGTATTATAACTGTGATACAACATAATGGGACAGAAAGGACTATTAATTATGTTATATTCAGCCACTAAACATTTATAATTTCCATCTGCAGTGTGTTTTGCACAAAGCTGTATAACACTGAGTAACGGAAAACCAGATGAAAATACTTTGTATTAGTTATCCAAGTGAGAAGTGTAAAGTAAACCAAAGAATTTGACCACTATTAAGTAAAAACATACCACTAATGACTGGTATGTGGAAATTAATTCTAAAACCTACAGGAAATTATAGCTATATATTTATCTTGATGAAATGCTTTGGCTTTTCAAGGATTCAAACTTCATATATTTATACAGAAATACTGTCATTAAAAAAAATCTTTTTGATTTAAAATATTCAGCTCAACCGATTGTGTGTGTACCACTGACTTTCAAAGGTAAGACAGAATCCTTCAAATAGGCAAGTTTTTGTTTCAGAATGTGCTTGCAAACAGTAGGCTTGTTGTTTTAGGTGAAGCCAAGGTAAAACATTCATATTCCATTAAGATGTAAAAATGAAGTGCAAGCTAGATGACTGAACCATGAGTAACTGCTTTAGGAGAAATTTTGTTCTGCAATATGCAAGTTTAACAAGAAGCTGCCGAAAATCTTCTGTTTACACCATCAACTAACGGAATACAACCAGCTGTAGTGAATGATATTACGTTCCTGGTTGAAAAGGGCAATTGTCAGACTGACTTTGCACTTGCTGATAGCTCACTAAAAACATTTCCCCAATCTCATTAAATTATTGCAGTCATTTCGAATTTTTATGGCTGTGCAGGCTACCGTCTCTCATTTCGTTTCATTTCATTCATTTTCCTTGTATCAATGATTAATGGCCGATGTCGAATGTTAGAGTGAGCAGGCATCAGCAAATGCAAGATCATAATTAGTTTAGCTGACGAGGGCCTCAGATAGCACTTGCATCTGGATGGAAAAATTACCCTATAGGGAACTGGCTGCTCACCAGAACTTTTTACTGATACATTGTGAAACACCCGATGAATCAAATGCCCTTTCATTGCCAAGAAAGTGCTCTGGCCTTGAAGCCAAAATTATGTCTGCAGAAAGCTTTCCATTCTAAATGTATCAGAGTACAATTATAAGCATTGTATTTTTCTGGCATAGATTCTGCAGTCCTACACAGCCATGTAAAGTTAAAATAAATTGCATGAATTCTATAACACCAAATGTATATGACTCATTATATAGGTAATTTATACAATTCTTTGGTCTAAGATTACTTGAGATTAAATTTGGTTGTTAGCTGATGACGTTACTGTCATACTTGTTTTGACGATTCTTTTTTGCGTTCTTATACTTTGCTGTCGTCCATGTTTCTTAAGAGGGTTTTTTAAAGGCTGAAGATTTGGTTTTGTGTAGTTTTAAGTAAATTAATGTCACAGCTGGTATCTACTATATTAAAATGCATACTGTACATTTTATTACATGTTTTATGATCAGATTGTAAAGAGCAGGACTTGATGGATAGTTTTATTGAAGGATTGTTCTTTGTGATAAACAAAATGTAATAAAAACAGTTCAGAAAGAAAAAAAAATAACTCAAAATTACATTTCTTTTTCTCACAATGTAACTGTTTTTAACTCGCTGCCTGTTGATGCCTTGTATACAAAAAATAGTTGAGAGTTTGGAAAGTTAAGTCCATTTCTTCTCAAGCACAGTGGTGTCTTACAAGGCTCATTAATCACTCTAAGGTTAATTATAATGAAAATCAGCTGGATTCTATTAATCACCATTGAACCCGACCTTATTATGGGTAGTGTGGTTTCATACCATTAGGGCTGCCATCTTAGTGCATTAAACCCTGGAGTTGATTTGTCCTGAGGTCTTGAATCACATCACATGACTCATCTTTGACCTTTTTTCTCCCCTCTTTTGTTCTGTTTCAGAGACGCAGAGGCTCTGGAGTATTCTGTGCCAACTGCCTGACCACAAAGACTTCTCTCTGGAGGAAAAATGCTAATGGTGGATATGTATGCAATGCGTGTGGCCTGTATCAGAAGCTTCACTCGGTAGGAAGGACTTGATTGGTTTGCCCAGTGGAAAAAAAAAACCTTCGAAACAAAACACACTAAATGAATTCCTGGTGAAACAGGACAGCTGTGATGTGTGCTGCTTGTTTGATCAGTACCACTCCCTGGCCTGCAGTTAATTTCCTTGCCTTGGTCACTCCCCTCAAAGTCAGATGCAATTCATTGGCATATGCAGTGAGCTGCATCTGAGGAAATGTCTCCGCCTTGAACCTTGTTGCTTTTAATTATCTTGCAAGGCTATGATGCACTGGTGCATGGTATAACCTAACATGGTCTGTCTAAACCACACTGTGGGATCAGTTATATCATAAATCTGACATTGTTAAGTTTAATGCTTTATAGAACTATGATGAAAAGATGTTTGCTTATCTAAATATTAGCAACAAGCCCTGAAGGTGCAGTGTATAAAATGAATAGTTATTCATTACTGCTGTGCTTCTTGGTTGGTACTGTACATGCCTACCAGGGTGCATGGAGAAATGCAAATTTAATTATTGTAAGAAAAAAGATATTCTTATGAAAAACAAACATGAAGAGATGTAAATGAAAATGAAAACAATTAATTTGAAATGTTATGTTTTAAAGCGAACAAAAATGCCAAACACCCTTTAAATTTAAGTTTAATCTTACGGATAAGATAGAAGGTTTTACCGTATTGAATCCCTGCACCGACTTTTTGTATTCCAGAATGGAATACAATAGCTCTGTATCTATAAAAAATATATTCTATATATTTGGGTAGTACTGGTTCAGCTTCCAAAATGAATTTTCTCCTGGAGGATTCAAATAACCATTTGGGTGGCTAATATTTAGATTTTGTCAGCATGCTGTGATTGAGATCACTTTTAGTTGAGCTGTGCAAGGCAGCCTTTGGATTATTTTAAAGATAGTTATTTGAAATTTACAGGTACGTGCCATCTTATGATTTCAAAAAGGTTCTTACAATCAAGCAGTTATGGAAATATTGAGGTTTTAGGATTACTTTCGATATTTTGAGTTTTAAATATATATAATTTTGAGTCCAATTTGATGGACATGGACACCTTGATATCAGGACAATGTCATAGACGTACATCATTAAAACCCATATTTTTTTCTCAATCGATCAATATGCTGTAATGCGTATCAGATTTAAAAGTAACTTAGTGGAGTCAATACAGTCTGTTCTACGAATCACATTATACTGTAGCATTTTATACATAGTGTATTGCATTTGTTATTTTTTATTTTGATATCATACTTTTTCATTACAATTTTGAGTGCTCTTAGCGATAAGTAGAATTACTGTATGTGTACATGGAAATGTTGCATAAAATGAACATT